AATTATCTGATAGAAAGATCACATTAAAGTGGGCTCACCCTCCCACTGGAATCTTAAGAAGACAAAAAAAAAAATGAGAAATGGAGTTGCTTCCTAGACATAGTTTTCTGGCTTTAGAGGCAAACTCTGACTAATGAATCCAGTCCAGACCCCTCCACTGGAGACCTGAGGCCTATTCTGGGGCAAGCCATCCACACCAGAGCATGAGATGCACAGGTAAAGAAGGTGGATAATAGATGCTCACGATCCTAGACCACCCAGGCCCCTCCTGTTCACTAGACAAATACAAATAAAACAAATTTATCACTCTAGAGACCTCACAGAAGATTCTGACACTAAGAACTATTCCATCTTCTGTAGGTGTTCTGATGCCATACCTCCAGATATCAACCTTTAGGACTAACAAAATGCTTATTAGATCACTAAATAGTTTTATTATTTACTTAAGTCTGCCACACCACAACAATTCAAGGTTGCATGTAAAGCAACATCTGATGAAAAAAGGGGAAAGTGAATAGTTTTGAGAAAATACAGCAAAGGATGAAGATGAAAGGAAAATAGAGAAACTGGAGTAAAGGGGCACAGATTCCAATACTATGACTGTTGAGGGGGTTGCACATTTGTTCTGAACTCCCCAGTGGACAAAGCAAAGAAAGAATAGACTCAGTTGCCTTATGAACAGTATGTCTAAGATTTTTTAATGCTTCTCAAATGAAGCATGACTTTTCCTCATGCTGAGAAATGAGACTTCTCCCTTGAATCCTCACAAAAAGAATACTGGATCAGTTAGGATAAGGTTCCACTGTGACCTTATCCTAACCCTCAAAATGACAGGGGCTTAAATAAATAGTTTACTGTCTCTCTGAAGTCAATTTTCAGGACTATGGCTTTTTTTTTTTTAACCAGGAATTGAACCCCCAGGGGTGCTTAACCACTGAGCCAGCCCTTTTTATTCTTCATTTTGAAACAGAGTCTTACTAAGTAGCTTAGGACCTCACTAAGTTGCTGAGGCTGGCTTTGAACTCTTGCCTCCACCTCATGGTCCAAGATGGTTGCTCATTCACTGGCCAAAATGTCCCCATTCCAGCTAACAAAAAGGAGGAAGTAAGGACAGAACTGATCCTTTAAAGTTATGGAGGATACTGATTACATCCATTGGCCAGAACTTAATCACATATCCACAGCTTCACCTGGGAAGGCTGAGAAGCAAAGTCTGTCTTCCGGGCCTCAGTAGAGGTGGACTTTCTGCTTACCAAGCAGAAGGGCAGTAGATTTGATTGCTCATGGCGGCCATAACAGAATACCACAGACTAGATAGTTTCAATAACACAAATTCATTTTCTCACAATCAGGAGGCCAGAAGTCCAAGGTCAAATTGCTGGGAGGACATATTTCCTCTGAATCTCTCTTCTTGGCTTGCAGATGCTGGTTTTCTTGCTGTGTCCTCCTCTTCATGTGGCCTTTCCTCATGTATACATACCCCAGGTGTCTCTGTGTGTCCTAATCTCCTCTTCTTATAAAGACATCTGATCTAGAGCCCATGCTAACAGCCTCATTTAAATTTAGCCACTTCTTAAGACCTTATCTTCAAATACAGTTCTGAGGTACTGGAGGTTAGGGTTTCAACACATGAATTTGAATGGGGGACACAATTCAATTCATAGCAGACAGAAATAGATATTGGAGAACAATCCAAAGTATACTGCCTCATTTCCTGCCAGCAACCCTGTACTTATCAGTAATAAATTCTTGGGGGTTATATGTTTTTTTTCCTCCCCCTTCTAAATGCAAGACTCCTTAAAAGCAAGACTCCTAGAATTTGGCACACTGTTTTGCACCTAAATGCATTTAGTAAAGGCTGGCAGGTGATGTCAATAACTGCCCAAGAAACCACAGCCTGAGCAGAAACAGGATTCCTGACTCTCTACCACGTGCTCTTCCCATCATGCTATAAGACCTGACAACAGCACAACACCCACCACATGGGAATAAAAGGCCATGTGGTTTCATCTCAGATTTTCCATATCAGAGGTTACAAGGTCCTATAGCCGTCATCACTGGCTCTGATTTTGCATAATTCTAGAGCTTCTGCAGAGATCCCAGCAGATATCAAACTATTTTAATCCCTTATATCAAAAGTCACTTGAATTTCTTCTGGATTGCAGTGGTATCCCTCTCCGATTTGCTTTGTTTTGTTTTGGGGGACACTCTGCCAAAGCTATAGGAAGTAAGACTGGATCATCACAAGGTCAAAGCCCACAGGCCCGAACTCTGGGAAAAGCCAGAAAATCACTGCTGAAACCTCAGTGGACTCTTCTACCAAGAGTTAAAACCAAGACCGTGTTGGCATCGCAGCCTGGGCAAAGCAAAACAGGCCCCAAACTTAGTGTTTTTCTTCTACCTCTCCAGCCAGCTTGCAAGCTGTCACCCATGGAGCCAGAGTGAGGTTTCATTTGGCAAGAAGATGGAGACAATGTCTCCTAAAGGGTGCTCACAGCCTTGCTCCAGGGACACCTCCTCAGTCCACCATGGGGTTCTAGGCGTCTGCACCTCCCTGAAGCAGGTCTTGGTCCCCAAGAGGCTCACAGAAAGCTGTTTACATGGCCTGAGGCACAGTCTCTTCTAGTTCATTTCTGCACTAGCGATAGCCACCTCAAATGCAGTTTTTGGAAACCGTACAATATAGCTAATTGTTTGCATTGGACAGTAGTGTGTTTAGAGCTTATGCATCTAAACAGACAATTATTTTCTACTATTTGCTAGTGGCACTGCCTGCCTGGTGACTTTGGCAGATGGAGAAAGAAGCTAATCCGTAGGTTATAAGCAGAAGGGTTATTGATGAAATGTCACCATCTGTTGGTGTCATTAAAATGATATGAGTCATAAAAAGTTGCTTTTGTATTTTCTCAAAAAAAAAAAAAAAGGTTAGCCTGGAGTTTAAAGAGAAGTTGCTAGATTGTGGATGGCAGTGGGGACAGGATGAGGAGAGGGAGGCCACCCAGGAAGGGGGAGGAGCTTGATGAACTCATCAGATCAGCTTAATGGGTCTTCAGGGCAGCCAATCCTCTGCTGGAGTAAAACCAGACAGGGCACTTATAAGGAACAATGCATACCTCTATTTTCCCATGCTCATTTCTGGGGCATCTACCAGGGAAAAGGGGAAGGTCATTTATTTGGGTTAAGCCAGAAAGATCATATCTACATGGAACCAGTTAAAACCCACTGGTCTCCTATCCTAAACCCTCATTAGTCCTGTGACACCCAGATTATTCTTGTAGCAAGCTGATGCCTTGAAGGATTTCACCTACCTGCTACATCTCCTCCGAGAGAATGAGAATGGAGATTACATGGAATAGGGTCAAGAGCCAGCACCCCCAAAATTCCATCAGGGATGGGAAGTCCTTGAATGGAGTAAAGATGACAGTGAATGGACCAGTAGTGAATTGCATTAGCAAAAGGATAGAAGTGTGTTAATGAGGATCCAGGTGACCAAAATGCACACTGTTCCAATTCAACTTGTTTACCTAATCCCCATAACACTTTCACATTTGCAGTTTGCAGAATCTTTAACCCACAGCCAAGGTCACACACCAAAGCAGAAGAACTCTTTTTCATCATGGCTTCAGATTCCTTTATTATCATCATTATTATTATTATTAATTTTAATGTCCAGAGAGAGATGAAATGGGGGTGATTGTGTAAATCACTCTGAAGCCTTTGGGACTAAATGTAACCTCGCACACCACAAACCGGGCCTCCCACCCAGCCCTGACCTCTAGTTGAGGCCTAAGCCATCTGGCTGGAGCCTGCCCCACCTGCCACCCCCTTAGGGCCACAAATGCTGGAGGGTCACTACTACTGCTTGGATATTTTGTGATGCTGGAAGCGAGGCCACAGAGGGCAGGGGCTCTGTGAAGCCTGTGCAGGCTGTTTCTCTGGTCTCAAAAGGAAGCCTCAGTGGAAAAGTTCCTGCTGATATTTTTAGATCTAATGCTTGGTCCTACTGCTGCACTTTCATTTTTAAACAAGCAGGGAAGGGAGTGATGGATGGTGTCTGCAGTGCTGTTTTGGAGGCTCTGGGGCCCATCTGACAGGCTAATGGTCATCCTGCCGGGCGGATCTGCCTTTCATCTCTTCCAGCTCTGGGACTGCGGAAGCTGCTGACTGCAGTGGCTGCTGGCTGGCAAGTCAAACACTGGCTGTGCTCCCAAATCAGAGTGGGACCTTTACTGCCTGGCTCTGAGGCCCCTTACAGCCCCAGCGGCTTGCTTGACTTCTGCCCTCCGTTTCTCTGGGGCAGGAGGCATGTATCTGCACAATAAGCCTTTGGCTGCAAGTGAAATCATTTAGAATTCAACAGGTGATTAAGCAGGTTCACACACACACACACACACACACACACACACACACACACACACAAGAATCACTGAGTTTAAGCAATTCTAGGCCAGCAGGAGGAAGTTGGACCCCCTCAGTATTATTACTGAACTGTTTCTGCAGTGACTTTCATGTGTCTGCCAAAAATTAGCACAAGGAAAAAAAAAGGAGTTTTAATTTTTACCAGTGTTTTTCCTTCCAAGGATTCAGAATCCCCTGGCATAGCCCTCAAGGAGATGGGAAATGAGAGATAGAGGTTGTTGGTCTGTTGCTCTGCAAATATTTCTCATAAAAAAGTTCCTGAACTGAAGCTGTAGCCCATGTTGAATAATCAGTTGACAAAAGTGAGAAGCTGAGGAATGTTCGAGGAGAAAAAAAAAGTGCTTAAATGCTCCTGGTTGAGTGATTTACTGTTTGTTCCTAGGCCTCAGATTGGCACACACTCAGATTGGGTTCTCTTACAAACCCAAAAAGTATGTGTGTGAAGCAGCTGGGGCAGCTCAGGAAAAGTCCTAATGAGGTCTGGAACTTCCCTCCCTCACTGTGGACTTCTTTCTGTGGCCTGTGTCACTGTCCTCGTGGTTGCTTACATTTTATATCTCCTTCTACAGCAGACCACAGAGACAGCCGAGGAGGACGACGACCAGCCCCTGAGCCTTGCCTGGCCTTCCGAAACCCGCAAGCAGGTCACCTTCCTGATCGTCTTCCCCATAGTGTTTCCTCTTTGGATCACCTTACCTGACGTTCGCAAACCTGTGAGTAAAGTATTTTTGAAGAAAAAGTCCCTGGTCATAAGGAAGAGGAGAGGTGATACAGATAAATGTGAATTCTTACATAGACCTGACATTTCTCTGGACAGAGAAATGTGCAGAGACTGTTCAGATTACCAGACCTGCATAACCAACCACCCCCAAACTTATGAAACAAATACCATGTTGTTCTGCTCATGGACTCTGTGGATCAGGAATTGGAGTAGGACACACTAGAGAATGGTTGCCTCTATGCCACAGTGTCTGGACCCTCAGCTGGGAAGGCTTGAGTGGCTGAGGTGACTCATAGCTGGGAGCTACAGTCACCTGGAGGCAAATGAGCTGATGTTTCTGGCACCTGGGCTGGGATGATTAAAAAGCCAGGTTCAGCTGGGGTTGTTGACTGGCATGCCTCAACGTGGCCTCTTCATGTGACTTGGGCTTCCTCACAGCATGGAGGCTTCGGGATAGTCAAATATCTTACATAAGAGGTCAGTGCTCCAAGAGTGAGTGTTCCAGAAGCAAAAGGCAGTTTTGTGGTCTTTGATGTCCTAGTCTCAGAAGTTATATAGTAACTATACTCTACTGGCCAAAGCAGTCATCCTGTGGTGATTAAAGGGATGGAGATAAAAAAAAAAAAAGTTTAACTAGAATATATCAGTCACATATAGCATATGACACTCTTGATAAGAGTGTCAAAGAACTTGCAACCGTATTTTAAAATAACCATAGTGATTGCTTCTGAGAAGCACACCTATAGATCTGGACAGAAGGGTGATTCACTTTTCCTAGAATTTTCTTTTGGCTATATACATGGACTATTCACTTAACTCAAAAAATAATTTAAAGAAATGCATTTGTGTAGTGAAAATGCCTTCATGTGTGATCCTCCTCATCCTTTATTATTATCATTTGTATAATCAAGATGATCTACCAGATATACAGGGTGCTGTGAATACAGCACTGTCTTATGGTCAGCAAAGTACAATCTGAGTTCTTGGCCAATTAATGGTTCCTGGACATTAGTGCTTATCTTAGAGGTGAAAGAACTAATGAGAAGTAAAGGAGAAACAGCTCTACTCTCTTTCATGACACTTCACACATATCCACTCAGAAAAGCATATGCCTACCATGCAGCAGATTCTGCACTAAGTATTTTTAGTAAGTTATATTGTGGAATCTCAGAAAACCTCTAGGGTAGAGAGAGAGAAACAGATTATGTGTGTGTGTGTGTGTGTGTGTGTGTGTGTG